ATAAATATTTAAACAATTTTTGTGCAAAATTTTTCTGCACATGCATTTGAATATAAATTTCTGAGATTTTAAATCTGTTATTTTACCTTAATTTTAATTAAAAAATATTTTAAAACCTGATGATTACCTATAGTATAATTAAATTTCAATATAATGCATGGCAACTGTTGGTAGTTTTGAAGATTATATATTTTCTTGGCAAACTTCAGTTTTTGACATTTTTGACGGTTTAAACCAGTATTATACCCTTGTCACGTCAAAAACCACTTTTTGACGTCAAAAACCCAACCCTGAGATAGATAGATAGATAGATAGATAGATAAAGTGTAAACAAGTTTTCAACGACTCAAACTAAAAGGAAAGTCGTTTTTTTTCTTTCGTTTTTTTGGAAATAATGCATGACAAATAAAAAGCTTTATATAAATTATTTTACAGTTTTCCGTAGAAGAATAATCAAATATTCGAGGCATACCCTCTGTCACGAAACAATTTTTCTATTGGTAGTGAACTAAAGCAAACATATTTCAAAATCAAGTAAATATTTATGAAACTATTATCACAACATTGCCGGCCGATGAACGAGTGGTTAGCGTGCCTGATTGCGGGTTCGAATCCTGCTCAGGGCATGGATGTTTGTGTGAATGCGTCCCACCCTATAAAACGGGTATGTGTGGCAGTGCGGCGTGGGTAACGTTAAATGATTCTTCCTAGGTCGTAAAAGTTCAGTACCTGCAGTTAGGGGAAGGAAAATGAAATCTGTAGTAGGGGAGACACTTTTAATGTAATTTATTAAAATATTATTACGTTATCTTTACTGCAACCAGAAAAAATATTTTCTGGAGGGCGAAATGATTTTGCTATTTGTAGTGAACAAGTGTCGTTTGAAACCAATAAAATTCTCAGATTTAAAGAGCATCTTCTTGTTTAGTTGAAAGAAAGTTACCGATTCAAAATGGAAATGCCTTTTTCAAAATATTTTCTTCTTCAATTTACTGATCTTTACCCCTATCTCATCCATCATGTTTATTTAAATAGTTGTAGTGGAACTTTATGAGGTCAAAAGAATGTGTGGTGGCTATTATTAGAGTTCAAGAGCTTTGTTTGAGTAAATAAAACGAACGAAAATTATAAGGAGCAGATTGCGCTAAACTATGTGTGGTTGAATTTAGTCTGATGTCAAAATATTTTATAGACAAGTAAAAGCAATTATTTTGTCAACATCTTAAAACAAAGTAGTTATAAAAGGAAGATCATATGAGTCATTTGCATGGGGGAAATAATTTTAGCACAAAACAAAGAATCATACGCAAAAACATAAAGTTAGCTAAAAAAATTCCCAAAAGCATAGAAAGATATGATGCCAATGAAGTATGCGTACATTATTTCTATGTATTGGTGACTCTTTTAATTAATTAAAATGTTAACCTTTTCCGGTGTTCAGTCTGGCAACACTGATTCCACAAAAAACGGCTAAAAACGAAAAACTAATTGCTTTTAAATGTTTAGCAATTCTATAAACAACGAAGGGGCCTCCCTGACCGAGCGGTATTGCCCGCCAAAAGCTGTGCGAAGCGTGGATGTGACTCGTTCGAATCCTGCCGTGATGTCCTTCTCCGAATTGTTCCATCTGTCCTTTTACTTGACAAAGGTTTATAAGCCTAAATTGAGCACACAAGTCTGCAAATGTATGTAATTTCAATGAAACAATAAACGGCGAAGAGCTCAAATATGTCATTTAGAATATATTGCTTAAGGTTCCACTTGCTAAAATCCTGCCTGACTCAAACTTTCAATCGAAATTAGTTATTCCGGAAATGGCTTTTATTTTATAGCTACTAAGAAAAAAAATTTCCTTAACTACGGAAATTCCGCTGAGTTTAAGGATATGCAAATATTTTAGAGCATTTAATATCTAAAATTTCTTTTAGAGCCTTTTGCATGACAATATTTTCAAAAAGAACCACGCATTTTGATTATTTTATTGTTTATCTTGATTAAGCATATCCACCTCAATATTAAAAACCTCGCAATTTGCTCGCAATTGATGTATTATAAAATCCAAATTTGTAGCTAAATGCATTAAATACTCATTTAATTTAATCAGAAATCCATTTTTTCTATAAGGCGTTTTTCTCCTTATTACAAATAGTGTGACCGGCAGGTTTAACCCTTTGTCTCCACGGAGGCACTATCAACAGTTACCACTTTAAAATTAAGAAATTTTATACCTTAATAATTAGTAACCACATTATTTTAAGAATTTTAAAATTGTATAATAATACCATATTTTGTATTTTAAATGCTATAGTGCTGATAGTCCATCAAGCATCTTTTAAAAGTACTCGGAGTGCAAAGGGTTAAATACATATAAAAAGATATCAAAAGTGTTTTATTATTAGTATTTGTTTCAAAAAAAGATAAATCAGTTTACCAGAATACATTTGTGCTCCAGTTGTAATTTTTTTTTTTTTAATATTCAATGCGGTGAGAAATTTTATGCTATACCATTTTTTCACTGATAAAATAAATTTCATTAGCAACGCCCAGCATGATATATATCTTATCATGAATAGAGAAAATAAAGCATTTGAATTCTAGCAAAATTAAAACCACTTTCTATACTTAGCATAAATGAAAATTTATTAATAAAAATGAAGTGAAAGGCCTTTTGAAACGTGGCGACAACACTAATGCCTTTAAGAGAATGTCGCTTCAGAAATATCAACTAAAATAGAGATGTTTTGACCTGTAGTGTCCTGAAAAAGGATTTTTATAAATTTGTGACCACGCTTACTTTTTCAAAATAAACATACCTCGTAACAAAATTGCACTTTTTGTATTTTTAATATTGAAGTGGAAGCAAATAAAAATAAATTTTTAACTTTATTATTATGATATTGTCACCACTTTTAAATTCTTAAGGACAGTTCGGACCCTGGTTTTGACTTATTTTAAAATTTTACAAAAGCATACTCGAAAACTGATTGAATCCCTGTTTTTTCCTCTGATTTAATAACTTTTGAAGTTATGTTTAAAATCTGCATATTTAAAAGCTCAAATGTTTTAAAATTTAATTGTAGTAGTGTTACAAATCAATTTTTGTTCTTTATCATTAACAAAACTGAACCAGTACTATTGAATCACAGTTGAAACAATAGAATTACTGTCAGACAATAGGATTTCAAAGACCGAAAAAAGCAATATTTACAAGAACAATCAAATAATATATAATATCTTTTTAATTTTACTGTTTTCAGTAGTTTATCATAATGAAACCTTAAATGATAGTTCAACAACAAACAATTCATATTTGAAATATTTATCCGCTGTCCGGAGCAAGTTGGCATCTCTGTGTATATAAATAAAACTATTTTTGTGTATTCTATATTGCATTCTTTTCTTCGAACCATTTTTGTAACGATAATAATGTTAAAAAAAAATTTTAAATTTACTCGAATTATGTTTTTCTAATAATCTTGGCTTCACCGGTAACCGGTGACCACAGTGGCGCTACGAACAAACTTAGTGCCGGTCACCGGTGATCCCCATGGCATTCAACGTGTTAATAACAAATTTTTGTCCTCGTAATGACGATGCAACTAAGACATATCATTTAATATTCTTTCTGAGAAATCAAATGTTTTGCTTTGGTAATCACATGTGTCTTAACTGCTCTCAGA